GAATTTTGGCTTCTACAGGTATATAAGAGTTTATATCCATTTTTCAAGCTGTGTTTCATGCTCGTGATAGTTATACCAGATACATGATGTCATTATTTATTGCTCTTGTAGGATCCAGAGGATGACAACGATGACAATAGTCCACGAGAAATAGTAGTCATATGTGAACACTGTGTTTGTGATGGTATATCTTTAAGTACTGTGGCACATGAACTTCTCATAGTTTTATCTGGTGAAGATGATGACAATATATTTGCTAGTTCATTAGATTGGCCAATAACTATGGAGACAGCGATTCAAAGAAGCTTCTCAATAGTAAGCAAAGTGATTGCACTAAGTAGATTTATCTTTACAATTTTATACTGGCGTGCAACACATACATGGAGCATTGCAAGAATACCCATAGCCAAAATCGACTTTCCATTAACTGAGATGTGCAATTATTGTCATACTGAAATCTGCTATAGGACATTGAACAAGGAGAAAACACAACAGCTGGTAGAAAAATGTCGTCGTGAAGGCGTAACCGTAACATCTGCTGTTAGCAGTGCTATTATATGCGCTGTTTCTACGCTAGTAAAATCTGAAGAAGATCATCCATCGGCATTACTCATAAGAATGCCAGCTGATATTCGTAGACTATGTGTGCCACCCATTCCTAATCACGATCTTAGCCTTCAAGCATCAGCCATTATGCCGCTCATAGTACCTACGAAAGAAATACCAACGACTTCTGAAGGCATGTGGCAACTTACAAAAGCAATCAGAGACCATATAAAGATGTCAATCAATACCGGGCAAACTTTTGTTTTTGGCATGAATATTGGAAAGATCTTATTAAAGATTTTACACGCGCCTAATTTTGCCGAAGTTCCTACTTGTGGTATCTCCAGTTGGGGCATTTTGCCATTTTCTGAAGACTACGGAAGATGGAAACTTGCGACAATGACTCCTTTTATTAACATAGTTGGAGCACCTAGACCAACATTTATATTACGAACTGTCAATGGGATATTCACAATTACGTGCGTTGGAGCTGAACCACTTTTTCCAATGAGCATTTTGGAAGGTTTGTGTGATAGCACAATGCAGAAACTACACGAGATGATTGAACACTGATATATTGACTATCTTTTTGCTATGAAGAAGATGTGTTGAATTACTACCTTGGCCTTCTAAAAATTTGATCCAAATTTTATTAGCCTGCGAATCACTCTTGAACTCTGTTTAATTTTCACAAATTTACTTTATACTTTATAATAATTAAATTATTCACATTTAAGTTTTCTTAGGTATCAAAGAAAAGAAATAACTATCGTTCTTATATTCAAGTAGCGCGCAGAATGTTGATTACACTTCATTCAAGAAAGAGTCCACAAAACAGTTATTCTATTCAAAAGTGAGATTATAACTATAACAATTTTAACATTACGATTTTATTTTTACAGTGATTAATCAAATGGTGAAATACTTCTCGTAAGAATAGTAGACCTTTTGAACTTCTCTACAAGTAAATATGAAGGAAACACTCATATTATGTCATATAGAAAGTCTATATCTTGGAGTTTCATTAAATAGATTCACAAAAATCACAATAATAATGTTCTATTAGTATACAACGTTGAAAATGATGTTGGGTAGTTTATGTTTTTCAACTTCACACTAGTCATCTCTACATTTCATGAGATTTCCAAGATCTATAGCATATCAAACGAGTCATAAAATGCAAATGATACAAGAAAAGACACTATGAATACTTGCATAAATCACATCTTAGAGAAAAACTAATTTTGGGAATACGAAAAATATAAGCGTACGGATTGATTTAATTTATTCTTTTGTTCAAAAACATGTATTTTTACTGTCATTTTTTCTTGAGTGTAAGCTGCACTGCAAAAGAAAAAAGAAGGTATAACTACTGAACTTTAAAAGTTGTGCATTTTGGTACGCGATCTTATTTAATTTTTTATGAAACGAAAATCATTGTGCACTCAGATTGCCAACTCTTTTCAGGTTTGGAAAAAGTTGACAGATTTGGCATCGTTCATCAGAAACCTATTGTAGGTTTAGAAAAATAGCAAAACATGTCTTACTTTTTACATGAAAACATCGTATCTCTGACTCCATAGAATGCAAAAAAGCTTCGAATTTTTCTTACGGAACTACGTATGATTTAGTAGAAGAGGAAACGGTTATGTTTGATAGTTCTACTCCATAAAAAGAAATTATGCTAATATTTCTTCAGAATCTTCTGTACTTATATAAGGCAGTGGAATCGTTTCGTAGAATGAAACAGAGCCATATGTTGTTCTTATCAAATATTCGGCGTGCTTTGCGCAAAGAAAAAAGTTTTCTATATTTTCTACGAAACTTTCTGTACGAACAATTGGTATCATGGATGTATTCTGAATTTCTTCTAGATGGGTGTTAAAAGAAAGCTTTGCTTATGGATCATGCTCGGTGCTCTCTTTCGCATTGACAGTATTGAAGAGGATACAGAGAATAGTATTTGGATCGGTCATCTGACATTAACTAGTGAGAATGATTATCAGTTGAAAGAGACACTTGTCTATATGAAAGAGAAGATTGGACAAGAGACAAATCTTGGAACACTTGGTGAAATCCTCATTCAAATGGGTGAATACGATCAAGCATCGAAATATTCGAACAGAATTATGTATGAAGTTCAAATGAATACGGCCAAGGCATATAAAATCGAGGCTAAAACTGCATGTTTAAAAGGTGACTACAAAACAGCACTCGATCACTCAAAATATATTATGGAAATCTACGGCAAAATTTTGCCATCTGTTTGTGCTAAAAAAGGTCAATTGTATTGTGCCATCGGTACCGTATATTGTCAATAGAATTCCTACACTCAAACAATATCTAATTTGACTAAAGCATTGTAAATTCAACAAGAAGTTTTGCCACCCAATCATCTTAACATATATGAAACTTACCAACGTTTTACTGATTGTTATGAAAACATGAATATGGTAACAGGCACTGGAATATTACAAAAAATATTTGGATATATGATTGACTACACTGCCTGCAAGCCATCCAGATATTGTTTTAACATACAATAGTTTGGATTGTTTGTACGAAAATAATCAGAATTATGAGTTAGTATTGATTTACTATCGGAAGTCGCTAGATATGAGTCATAAAAGTTTACCGCCGACACATCCAGAAATGAAACGTATGGAAACGAATATTGAGAGAGTGAACTCCTTAATTCAGTCTGATTAGAATTCGTCTAGATTTATTATGATTGATAATATTTTTAGAAATAAACCTTAATTTTGTGGATTTATCTATGCCACATCTGCATTGTTTTTTCGTTAATATATTTTTGTCATTTTTCAATAGATTTCCACTCGATCAAAGCAACATAGCACAATGGTTTGATTTTGCACGTTAAACACTTCAACTTTTCGAAATAACAAGCAGTTGACTCATTCTCGTCTTGCCATAATGCTCATAGTTGGAAACATAACAACTTGATATTCTAGTATTCAAAGATTTTGGACAAAAAAAATGCTTTAAATTGAGTCTACATTGCTATGCGACGTTCTTCTTGCGTATGAAACTAGAGGAGAAACAGCGTACCACAAGCTGAAAACTTCATCAAAGTATAAAAGCAGTTCAAAGTATGTAGAAGTAACTCAAAATATTTAGAAGTAATTCCAAGTACATTGAAGTACTTTAAATTACATTAAAATACTAAACTTTGAGTGTAGATGCGAGTGTCAGGATTGACGCCTTGTAGAGTCAAATTTTTTAACTCCAAAGTTTGATTTCGACTTTGAGAAATTCTGAAAAGGTTTTTGATTATCATATATACTTCTTTTTATGTTAATTGTTAATGAGCATATCCTTCTGATGTTTTCTTTTCTTGAAATTTATTTGTTAGTCTATAAAGCAGCGTATATTTATTAATTTCTTAATATATGAAGAATAAACTTGTCACTATGTAAAGGTCCGAATATTTGAATGTTTTACTGATGTAACTCGGACAGAGAAAAAAATCTTTCAGTGACGCTGTCTCCGACGGAATCGAAATCAAGTTACGACGCCAGATGCAGGGCTTTAATGGAAGTCTTCTTCTCATCAAACACTCCACACTCCACCAGGCTTGAAATCAGTCGAATTTTTTTCAATTGACCGGAATCGATTGATTTAGCCTGTTCAACTAGCCACGAACAGTTGGTTGAAATTCTTGGCTTGATTGGCAGAAAACCTGTGCGTTCAAATGTATCAATTAGCCTATTAGTTCTTTTTAGAATAAGTTTACTAGTATAGCTTCACGAAGACATACAGTGTAAAAATCATATAACTGTTAGAGTTTACAATAGTGACAATTTCTATTCTTATCTGTTGCGTCTATCTACGTTAATAGTAAGAATGAAACAAAAACTCTTTCAAAAACTTTTCATCTAATAACACATAACAACTGATACTAAACAACATCTGTTCTTTGTTTTAACTCGTTTTCTTCGACAAAGATATAATTTCTTTACAAGAATTGATAAGTTTTATGTTTTATTATTTGAAATCATTATTTAATACAACTGAAAGAGTTCTCAATTCGTATAAGTAAACTACTGTCGACAGGAAGACAAAATGAGCTACAAAATTCGATTTTTATACTAATAAGCTTCGTATTTTTAGGTTCTTTAATGACTAGATATTTGAAAATGCAAGAATCGTATGCTAATATCATCCAAAAACAAATAGCGCATGTTAACCAGAAACAGACAATAGTAATAGAAGGCAACTTTTTTCATATGAAAAACATTATTCCCATTAACTCTCAGAGAATTTCAGGAAAATGGAAATAAAACTTATGTGTCGAATATCTCTTTCATAGAACATATTTTAATACCACTGAATTTGAGTGTCAAAACTGTTTGTCCAAAACAAAAAAGCCGAGGCTCATGTTGTTACCGCTGAAATTCTGTATAACCTTCATTTATGTATGTGTTATATTAGATTTATTGATGAAATTCATTTTCATTCAAGAGTAAATGATCATTTAATGAAAAAAAAAGAAAAGAAAAAAACATCATCATCGAAAATTCAAAGAATGATATATTTCTATGACATGCAGACGACTTAGATATCTCAGTTTCGAAACATTGAATGAGTGCTAAGTGAATATTTTCCAATATCTTATAATATTGACTTGATCTATCACTTGGCACATTGGAGTCTCCATTTGTGAGAATAATAACACCAACAGTATTCTTTTCATTAATTAACATCCAATGTCTTGAACCTGGAAGTGAACCACTATGACCAATGTATCGGCGTCCATCGCTCAATGTCTGCCAGGTCCAACTAAGTCCAAAGGTGGGTGGTGCTATAATGGAGGAATTGACTATTCCATGGGGATCGTAATATGGAATGAGACCATTGCCAACGATCAGCTTCATTTCAGCAATAGATCTAGGACTCAGAAGAGTAGATCCATTATTCATAAACATTTGAAGAAATTTAGATAAAGAACGAGTTGACATGCGAAAGAGGCCAGCAGGATAGGCACTGAAGCCAAAGAATGGAATGTATAGCCAAGTGGGAAAATTGTCCTATCAAGAAAATATACGAATGAATTCTAACAGTATTATTTATGTGTTTACCGATAACTGTGTCACATTCAATTGCGGCATTCCTTGTATCCATTCATTGAGATTAGACGCATTAAATGCATAAGCATAATGTTTGACGAGTTCTTCTCTATTTGAAAAATCGGCTAAGCGAACGCCTACTTTACTTATATCAATACTGAGCGGTTTCATTATTTTTTCTTTAACATATTGATCAAAAGACATATTCGCTACTCGTTCAACAACCAATCCAGCTAAAGAGGAGCCATAATTTGAATAAAATGCTACCGTACCCGGTGGCTTTGGCAACCAATTCGATGTGTTCGGATTTATATGAGTAAACAATATCTCAGCTAATGTTGACTGTTCGAAAGCAGTGTCGCCCAATTGATACAAGCTGAGTTGTATGCTTTCATCGACAGCGATCGATGACGAATGGGAGAGTAATCTTCGTAAAGTAATCGAATGAGATGGATAGTTTGGATGAAAAATACGTTGACGAGGTTCTGATAAATACTGATTGATGTCTGTGTCAAGATCGACTAACTCCTTCTCAACAAGTTGCATAACAGCAACAGCAATGAACGTTTTCGAAATTGAAGCCACAGCAAAAATTGACTTTTCTACATCCATAAACTGTGATGGTGAAAAAAAATGGTAGCCGAAAGCCTGTTCGTAAAATGTGTGAGTACCATTGACAACGACGATAGTTGCACCAGGAATATAAGAATCATTCAGAGAATATTCTATCCACTGTCGATTGGGACAATTCAAACTTCTTCCATCAGCAATTAGAAAGATAAGGATAAGAAAAAATGACAAAACGTACGACATTCGTTTGCTCTTGTTCGATAAATAATAATCGTATTTGCCACGATGGCTTATATAAAATAAAACCATGTTCTTATGAATCAATGAAAGAAGATAAAGAAACAAATATTATCTTCTTTTTGTTAATAATATTAATCTCATACAACTATCGATTTAGTGTCAATATTTGGACGTATTAAAGTTAACGATAAAGAGAGTAAATCAGTCACTAGATTGTTAGAAAAAGACATGCATGAATTTATATGTAGCGTTATTGTCTTTTACGCTACTATCTTGTATCAAACCAAAATGGATGTGAGTGTAGATGTATAATAAAATCTTACTCATACACACATTCACACTCTCAAGATTTTTCAAAATGAATGTTGGCAGTTTCCTATAAACTAGACGTTATTTTGATAATTATTTAGACGCAATCATATGTCAGATAAGTTCGTTGAGAGATGACAAAATTAGTTGTAGCAGATCTTATTCATTCTATTTCTTATCTTTTCATCGTCAAGATAATCCTATAATAAATTGCAAAAAAACATGCTTTTGAAGAAATGTATATGAGTATAGAAATGAAAAGCAAATAAAAAACTTGATTCATTGGTAAAATGTTGCTTCTATAAAAGATATGTTTATACAGGTAACCAAACGATTCATTCTCTATCTGATAACATTCAACAAACACACTATGTTATGTATTTATATTGATATGGTATGATGAATATTGTGAATGCATTAGTCTGGTTACACGGAATGATTGAAAATGTAACTGTGCAACTAAAAACATTCCAAAAATTCAATAATTCATCTAAGCCTTTGGCTGATATCGACTGGAATCTTGCCAATGCCCTTAGTGGAATTAATTATAATTCTTAATTGGTTGAATCGAAGGACGTTATTCTTGTTGAAGCTGTTGGTGAAGTTCAAAGTGTAGATCCTCGACTCTTTATGTTAACAGAAATAGATTGCCGAGCAGGAAAAAAAGGTCAAGAAGGTGACGGTAGGAAAGGTGGCCGGTATGACTCTAGTGGTTTATCTGGTGTTAATGGTAGGGGTGGTGTTTACAGTTCCCGTAGTGTCTCTGGTCAGTCAGATAGAAAGGGTGCTACTGGTTCTGATGGTTGTGCTGCGATCGATGCAGATGATAATATTTTAGAAACAGGTCATGATAAATACCATGCTAGTGTTTGTTCTTATACTATTACGGATGAAAATAAAGATAGAATCTACGAGTCCAGTTCAGATTTTTTATTACAGATGTTAAATGGACGAATAATGATGCAATGATTTTGCCCAGTGAATCCATATTATCATTTCGATCTACGAAATATATCTCTCATGATAGAAATGATGTTAGTGTATTGACAGATGTTAATATCGATGAAGTTTTGCTTAATTCTCATCGTTTTAAATGCTATATGAATGTTGTTTCTGCCCTTTCACTTAATCGATCATACATTTAACCCGTACCAATAACATTAGAAATTCATCTATTGAATCATGTATTTAGTGGTAGTAAAGTTTCGACTACATTGATCTGTCAATATCCAATTCAAATTACAAAAATTCAAATCCCATCTTTTCTAGGTCCACACGAATGAGCCATCATAACTATTAGTTTTACTAATATATCTGCACGACTATACGGTACATGCTTCGATTCAGCTGGTTCTATAGAATTTATATTGTCTACACATTCTGTAATAAAAGTTATATCTATGAATGAAAAATATTCTTATCAAATAATGTTCGATGGTCTTGGTCTCTAAATTTTAATATCAAGTAGTCTATGATAATACCATCAATAGAGATTCCATGCATTTTATGACTGTTGTTTATAGAAATAGATATGTATACAAATCTACATTAGATTCCTAAGTTGGTAACCGATTAATTATGGTTACTAGTGATAATCTTCTATTAGTCAATTCCCAATTACCATTCACATTGAAAACTCAATTGAATAAAAATCAACAAAATTAAGTGGACCTGTTGCATGAACAAAAAATTGATAACAAATCAGAATTTCCAGATATTATTCAAATTGAAATTAATTTAAATTCAAACTTTGGTAGATTATTATGTGGTTCAGTATTTTATCAAGGATTTGAAAAAGTTCATGCAATAATTATTAGTGAAAAACACGAATTGGTAAATAGCATATTTACGATAGATTCAAATAAATTTAATTTTGATCAAATTTTAGCCAGTCTTATCATATCAATTATTGAGCATGAATTCGATCGAGGAGCTATACAGTTTCCATCATCAAAGCAATTAGTAAAGCAAATAACTAATGTCATTGAAAAAGAAAAAAATATAACAAATGATTGGGCATATTTACTAATTTAATCATTGTTTGAATAAATTGATAGTAAATTTTTGAGTTCTTTTCCTTGGTGTAATTCTACTGACAAAGCAAAACAACGACATCAATTAATGAAAATTTTAAATGATTTACATTCATTATCAACGAATGAAATTCTGAGAAACAAAGAAATTAATCAAGAAGTACGAATTTGAAAATCACAAAAATTAGCAAATTTAAAATTCCCCAGCAGCTGATAGAAGAGAAAATTGTGTTCGATCAATCATAGAAATTCAAGCATCAAAAGAAGAACAAAAATTTAACAAAATACAATCATCAACAGAACAATTATCATTATCAGTTGCAGTTCAGAGATTTTGAAAAATTCAATAATTTAATCTCACTGGGAAGAGAGGGATTGAATCACTAGAAGTACAACTGCAAATATAGGAAAACACTAGAAATATGTTTTGTTTTTATTTGATTTTTAAATAATTGTAATAAGATCATTGATTAACAACTGTTACTAGTTCTTGTAATTATTAGGCTTGAAAAAAGAAGCAGTTTGGTACAAAATTAATATAATTAGTTGTTTTCAATTCACGTTAAAAGATCAGATTACGTTTCATAAATAAATTTTGGAATATATAAAGTTTGGTTGTAGAAATTTTTTGTCACATTGAATACTTATAAACATGATCAGTTTCGATCTTTAATGACCAATGAAGAGACAAACCCATAGGGTTCAATATCGATTACCAATACGCATTATGCTCGGATGCTTTCTACATTGATCATTGCTAGTCACAACACATGCTGCAATATTCCTGCATCAGGCTACTTATGGTAGAACAAACTCAAATTGAATATTACCATAACTTTTCTGAGATATAAAAATAGTGTTCGAGCATATTCTTCCCAAATTGATTGAAGCGACTTTCGTCATTATTTCCACGAGAAAGAGGAGTTTTGCTATAAAGCCACCTCAGTATCATGATTATTGGCATTGTTACTCAGAATTTTTGTCAATAACGTTCTTATTGCTCGCCAATTAGTGAAATATCCATAAATATTTGACAATAATTGATAGAAATAATATTAGTAAAATCTTGGAGCAACCAACCTCAGCGAAATCATAGAAAAGGAAATGCATTGATTTCTACTTGCAGCGAAGCTTGAGGTTCTATATTGAACTTGTAGGCAATATGATAGCATGATTTTCGTAAAAAGATAGAACGAAAATGAAAACTCATCGTATATATATTGTCCGATGGGAAGTTCTGCTGTGAGAAAGGGAGCCCTGATTGTATATGGTAACTCAGGAGCATAAAGGTCCCATTACCTTCGATAGTGACGAAACATTTGAATTATTGAGATTCGATGTGAGAATTTACCAAAAGTGTCAAATTTTCTAAAAAAGAACCTTAAATACTTGCCGTAACCGACTACAGAAATATATGAGCAGAAATCTAAGATAAAAAACTTAAGGACAACATCGTCTATGCATCTGAGATTTCCATCAAGCAAAATAAAACTCATACCGTATTAAATCCACATAGATATAGACGGGCTAGTAATTATTTTTATTAAATATTTTCTGTAGATCTCAACAGGATGTGGATATAACGTTTAGGTGGAAGTGTGGGATAATACTGATACCTATTGTCATACACCTACATCCTTCAGGATAAATTTGTGACCAGATAGCTATGCACAATTTTTTATTGTATGATCATCGCTTTATACTTCAGCGGGTAACCTTGTCATTTTTATGAGATGAATACTACGTGCTCGTATTGAAACAACAACGTCTTCGATAGCGGGATTGTCATCAGTAATCAAAGTCTGTTCTTCGAGAATGTCTCCACGCATTTGCATCGTATGGATTGCAAATACACCTTTATATTTGAACGACGATACCAGTACATCATTAATCCATTGTTCCGCTATCGTTACACCACCACCCTCGTCAATATATAAATCCTCAGCGCCGCGTCCTCGACAGAAACGATAGTCCTTGATTGTTTGCACAACTCCATTCTTGGTAAACGTGCTTCGCCATTTCGTGCAACTCTCATCAACCATCGGATATGGTCCAATCTCCAGTGTCACGTTCCAGCCAGAACCTGTTTCACCTTCTGGATATGCTTCGACCACACCATACCAAGTACCAGTCCAATTAGTTTGGATTATACCTGATGTGCTCATGGGCCAGCCTGGAGAACAAACAAATTGTGCAGTTTTGATTGTGAATCCTTTAAGTTTTCGTTAATATTAGGACGGCTCAACCAGTAAAATTGACTACATAGACCATTCCTCAAAATACTTTTAAAATTTAATATGAATTGTCAACATAATATCAATTAGACTGGATTAGTGACAGGAGACGATTCTATATATTTTTTTCAGCTCTGACAGGATTCATCTTACCTCGTAATATATGTCTTCTTCTGGTACTTCGAATTTATTACGTGTCATAGACAAACAGTCGACATTTTAACCTATGAAAATTTTTATTAAACTTTCTGTTTTGGACTCCGGGATTCGATATCCAGTTGCAATGTCTTAAATCTGTCTAAAAGTTAAAAGTAAAATAGTCGAAAAATCGAAAATAGTCAAAAAGATCAGAAGTGGAGGACATTCCGAACGTCCGCTTTCTTATCGGCAATAGTGATCGAATCGGTTACTCTGTATATCTTTTTTTCTTCCACGCTTTTATAACATTAGTATTTCTAAGAAAAGAGAAAATTTTTCAAAAAATGAACAATCTCATAGGGGTCTTTTCAATTTACAATCTAATGTCTAGTAACAACCCACATAAACGAAAGTTCTTCTCTTCCTAGAAGCTGTTACTTTCTCTCTCAATAATTTTTTTTGTGCCAACTTGTATTTGGTTAAATAACACGTCTTCTTCTTATCTGTGACAAAATAAGTTTTGAAAATTTTAAGACTCTTCAAATTGATTGGCATATACCGTTCAATGACATTTGTATATATTCTTCAAGATGTCATTTTATTGAAAAGATTTACCGTTACAATGGAAAGATTTTGAATGTATAGTTCAAAAAGCTAGAAAGACTCGGATGTAGTTATCAAAATAAAAATATCTATTCGTGGCTTATTTTCAGAAGTTTAGATAGTAAAATATTTCGAAATACGATGCAGACAACAGTTTCAGAAAGTATGTTTCACACAGACAGACACAAATGAATTAATTACCGTTTGCCAGCTCTAGCTATTCAATCTTGGAAATACATAAATAGATTTTCTGTTGGATAATGACTTCGTGTCGATTTGGTTGATATCTAGTCGGAATTACAGGCGATAGTAATATTTCAATCTGGTTTTTATTTGACTTCATCTGATGACCAGTTCTCTGTTACATATAGAGAATCAAGGATTCGATAGATTTTGAAAATATGTATTCAATAATATGTTATCGAAAAATTATTTATCCCGATCTATGGTGAGAGTGAGATCAAAGCATCAAGATGTGCGTTCTCTTGACGGAAAGAAAACGAGATATTTGGTTGATACTTCCTCAAAAGCCTATAAACCCAAGTAATCAGTCGTAGAAGAGTTCTGAAAATGCTTCTTATCCAATTTTTTTCTATCGATACTACAATAATTAAGTAAGAAAGTGTCGTCTGAGACGTAGAAAAGTCGTCAATATATATCATGTATATTAGCCTGAGCATTTTATGCATTACAAATTCTTACTGTATACATACCATTTTTCGTACATTTGACAACAGCAACACCGATTACAGAAAACAGAAACAGAAAGAAGAGACTACGTAATTCGAATTCATCCATTGACACGAAAAGGAATAGACAGGTAGTTTGAGTAACAGAAGAGTCTGTATGATGAAAATTTTATGAGAAGAGAATGTCACAATTGCATTAGTTTTTATACGGGATCAGCAGTTCGATAATATTCTTTGGTTTTTTTCTTTTAGTCAATTTAAGCTCGAAGAGAATACCCATTTCATTATAACAACGATAATTGAAACAAGGATTTAACAAGTAAATATTTACCGCCTAAAAGGACGAAGAGATTGCAGTGTCAAAATACTACAGTGCTACAGCGTTGCAAGATTTGATAATCATCTAAAATTTATTACGTTGAAGATTTTTCTATAAGATCCGAATACAGATTAAATAGTGTATTTTGATTTTGAAGTAAATTGATATTGGCGAATATGAATTGATTAATATTTATGAGATTCAATTGTGAAACTCAATGATGTTGTTTGTATTGCTCAATAATCAGCTTTTTCGGTTTTTACTTAATATGAAATGAAACTGGATGTTGATCTGGCGACATCTTTAGCGTGTAATGTTTGTCATGAAAATATTGTACATAATTACAATGTGTTATTTAATATGATTTTATCATAGATTTATTCCTCAAATTATCGACATGAATGAAATGTCTCCTAGGTAATTAACTATGAAAATGATTGTTCACTTTATTCACGATATATATATTTCTTTCTTTCCGACCTCCTCATTATTTATATAGTTGACTCATGCATCGATTTGTTGGAAAAAAGAAACGTTAAAATTGACTGTGATCTTAATAGTGCAAGGAAGAAGTTTTTGTGTTTTTTTTTCTACTTATTTTATACAACACAACACCGTATACTTTGTTACGTACCTAAAAAAACCTGTAAGACGACGATACGATGAGTTTAGAATTGTTACCCAATGAAATCTTATTGGATATATTCAATTATTTCAATGGTGTTGAACTTCTTCGTATATTTTATGGTCTCAACACACGATTGAATTTCCTTCTTCACGATCGATTTTTAAATTGTTCTTTCAAATTTAATTCTGTATCAAAACATGATTTTGATATAATCTGTCAACAGTATCTACCAACAATGGCAGATTATATAATTACTCTTGATCTTACTGACAATGATGACACTCCAACAGAAATTGAACTATTTCTTTCTTATAGTCCATCATTCAAACAATTTATACATTTACGATCTCTATCACTATTTAATCTTCGTTCATATCCAACATTGATGAAAATTCTTGAAGAATGTCATCATCTTTGTAATCTGACTCATTTAGGACTCTTCCATTGTTATCAAGATGGTCAAATTGATTTTCAATTAATTGTTAATCATATTTGGAGTCTACCAAAACTTACTCATTGTACGATTGGTATTGGAGTTACAGGATTATGCTTCTTTCGTACACCGACAAATACTTCCTTATCACTCGAATATGTATCTATAGAAAGAATTCAAGTTAAATTGGATCAAATAAATCGATTGTTTGAATATACACCAGCTCTGAAATGTCTTTCAATATCTGTAGTGTCCTTTGTCGATAGTGATTATATTCCTTCTCCTCTTCCAACCTTAATTGATTTGAGTATAAGTTCTTGTTTTACGTGTAATGCATCGAACATGGTTATTTTATTACAAAATACGCCTAATTTACATCGTTTAAATATTGATTTATCGTCTGAAATTGTCGATGGTAATCGATGGGAGGAAATCATTCGTAATTACTTGCCTAATCTTCAAATCTTTCAATTGAAAATGAAAATTACATTGTCTCCGAGACAAAATATACAAGAAAGAGTCGATAATTTAATTAATTCATTTCAAACTTCATTTTGGATCGATGAACATCAATGGTATGTCCGCTGTCTTACATGGAATAGAACGATTTATCTATACACATTATCTAATTGTTACGAAGAAAATCTACCCGTCTCGTATAAATCGACATGTCTTGATGATGACCAACAAGATTTTTATAATAGTATAACTAAAATAATCTCATCGACATTTTTTGATCAACCGATTCCATCATACATTCGTTTATCTAAAATTACTGATCTTTGTATAAATCTTCCTATAAATGATCAATTCTGGTCAATTGTTTCAAATTTCAATCGTTTGAAGTCACTTAAAATACTATTTCATACTAATGCTTTTCAATCTCAAGTACAAGCATTACTTAATCGAACACCTCATCTGGTCAGACTAAGCATTAATCAACATGAATCAATACCTTTGCAAACATCGTTATTCAAATATAGAAATTTATCCATTCATGAACTCGACTTACGAAACATTAATCATTATTTCAATGAAGAAGACTGTATTACATTGAGTCGTTCACCATTGGGTGTTCAGTGTGAAAAGCTTTCTATTTTGATTTATAATCGTGAAAGTATTATTTCTCTCATCGAGAACATGCTCAAACTTCGAGCATTAAATGTTCGATGTAAAAATGAAAAGTATATTGAACAATCAAAATTAAACGAAGACAATGATGTTGAATATTTTGATGAGAATATACAATGGTTAAAAGATCATTTATCATCAACATGCACGGTTGTCAGAGATCCAAAACTTACATGTAATATTCTAATATGGATTTAAAGATAACAAGCAAACTTAATATATATATCGAATGATTATGAACAGATATTATTTCGAACAAATTTATTCATAAATAATCATGATTTTAACATCAAAGAAAACTTAGTATGATTGAATAAGATTTTATTGAAATATACTCTATAATAAACATGTTCCGCCTTCATATTTCGGATTTGAAGGAGTTCATCGTGTATTCTTTCATATAGTCATAAAAGAGAAGTAGCACATAGAGAGAGAGAAGAATAAGTCAAAAGTAACTGACTGACCAACGACTAATGAACACCACGCGAACCATGCCGTTTATATAAATAAACACAAGAGAAGAATCTTTCTTTCCGAACCTTTGTTTTGAGTTCTTCAAGTTAGAAAAATGTTTTATACAAAAGCTACAAAATCTTTGGAATTCAGTGAAATTTTATGGAAGTTTTCTATTAAACCCTAGAAGTTTAAGTTTTTACATAGAATCTGAAAAGGTTCAGGAAGACGGAGGATGATGATCTGTTTATACTTCCCCATTCACTCATCCACCGTCATTTCTTCTAACTCACTTGATAGAAAACCTAGTATGAAATTGTCGCTGATCAAATGAAGGGATGAATGTGGGTGTGGGGTGTGGACATGGTTGTCATTTCTTACATTTCAAATGGAGTTTATGAAAGTCCAAATAGGATCCATTTCTCTTTCGAACGAAGTGTATCACTGGAGTACATTATCTCCCTCTTGGAATGGAAAATTAACTTTATTGTTCGTTTTCTCTCAAAAAGTGTTATACTAGTTAATTCATAAGTTCAAAATTGGAAACAATATAATTAATAAAAATAAATACGAAATTGTGTGTGTGGGCGTGTGCGTGAGTGTGAGGGCGGGCGTTTCCCACCTCACACCCACACCCACCCTCGATAATTACTTAAACTATAAATATTGTTAAAGTCTATTAACAGAAACAAAGAAAAATTTGATATATGACTAAAAACGTTCATGTAAAACGTTAAATATGTCCTAAATATAGTTAAGACGAAGCCAAACACAATTATATCTGTCATAGTTACTCTAGTTGAAAACTAAGTGCAATTGATCTAATTAGAGACATTACAAGATTGCTGGTAAATAGAAAAAGAAGTGCTAAGTAGGTTGATTTGGAGTGTAAGTGACTATCAGTATGAGTGCAAGTGTGCGTGTGGGTGCGAGTATGATTGTGGGTGGGTGTGGATGTGACTGTGGAAGATGTGGCGGCTGTAAATGCCCGTCACTTCTTTGCTCACTCACACCCACACCTGTGTCACGAAAGCAACTGTCGCTGGAGAGCAAGTATCGCGCAAGCATGTATCCTGGAAGAAAGTGCCGTCGGGGACCATCTACCAAGGAATCATGAAAAATATCGAACCAGTTGGCTGCTCAAAAACCACATCATGTTGAGATGAATTGAAATATTTATCAATTATCTACTATTTATTGATACATTTTGTCTTTGATTATAATGATAAAATTTAAGTGGAAAAATTTGTCACAATCCTATAGATTCAATCAAATTAAAGTCACTATGAAAACTCGTTCTGAAAAAGAGTGCCGTATGCTGAGGTCTACGCGTTATCGTCAAATACGCATCCTAAATTCACGCAGTGTATTGTAGATGGGCACACATTTTTCGATGAGCTGCTTCACATCGTCAGGAAGAACAGTGTCATCAGTGTTGTTTGTGGTTTTCTGAACCTGATTGAAGCCTGTGCTATGTTGTGCACTTTCATGCCATCCTGGCCATTTGCTGAACTCCTTAACCCGTTCCGATTTCCACTCGAGCATGATCGGTTCAAATCGGTCTTGAATAGCTGATTCGCAGTATATTTGCATCATAGCTTTAGGTTCTGCAAGGAGTTCGCTTGCTTCGACTAAAGGTGGATGAGCGCCAGTAAGCTCAGTAAGAAATTCGTATAAAACCTGCAGCTCCACATAACCTATGTCCTCGTGAATGAATCTCTGATTGTTTGCAACAAACGTACGGTACGAGGAGGTTAAAGCCTTTTCTGGCTCACGAAGAATAAAAGTATGTGTACATCGCTTGAGAAATTCAATAGGTAGCATCGTTGGATTTTCTGGATGTGACTTGTAGTTAGGTAGTACAATATGGCGTGCCATATCCTTGACAAAAACCTTCTTCTTATCCTTGCTCGTAGCCACATGAAGTATTTGCTCGATTATGTCTGAGTAAGTTATATTGAGATACTCCGCATGTGTACTCAGCTCATTTTCAAAGTAGTCGTGAATACGTTCAGGACCAAAGTAAGAAGGCTCACCGAAGGGTTCATGAAAAGTGATATAGTCGTCTCGCTGCATGAAAGCTCGTTCAAATGCAGTAGAAATTGAACGCACATGAGACCAAAGAAAGACGATTTTTGTTGTTTCCATCAACAGACAATATGAAGACAAATAAGTAAGAATGATATATCAACGCTGCGAAAGCATGGTACAAGATAAACTGCAGAACTGTAATGATATACGACTGCTGTGGATTTTTTTCTCTTATCGTTCTGTTCTCTTCTGTTCTATATGTAAAGAACGAGTAGTTTGCTATTACTTTTTTATATATAGCTTTATCGTGCTCCGTAGAGTTAACAGACGCTGATACGAAAAAAGAAATAAAAACAACAAATAGTTCCTTTCTAATCTTATATTTTTTAGTTTTCGTATTCTCTTACGGGCATGCTTAATATCCAAGGATAAAGAATGGAAAAACATATATAAGAATTAAGTAGACTCAATTACCATGCACTTATGCTTGAATATAAAATTATGCACAACATAAGTACTTGTATACAAATATTTCCGGACAGCGAACGATTTTTTAAATTGCATATTTGCTATTGTGTATACAAAAAATGTGAGATGATCCAAATTCACGTGATCACCCCTTGCTGCCAATTAGTAAGGAAATATACTGTTTTGGATATAGGTATGGGATGTGGATGTGGGTGGGTGTAGGTATGGGCGTCGCTGTCGGTTTTCATTGTATCTCAGTTCCAACTCAAATCCACCCACGCCCACACCCTGGATAATATAATTACACAATACATTACATTAGTTACTCAGAAAACGCATTTTTTACAAAATTTTCAGAGAGATAGAAATCCATTCATAATGCTTTGTATAGCACAGAATTTTTTATATATCATGGAAGCTCACTTTCTGTACTAAAATCGTAAGTGATTTAGTTAAATTTTTACGTATAACTTTCCATGATGTGCATATGGCTAAGGCTAATATAATCTGAATAAACAATCACTATTGTGGGCGGGTATGGGTGTGGGTCAATAGAAGATGTACACTCACGCCCACACACCCACATCTCACACTTCACACCCTTTTCAATCTGGACTTAGACACAAAATTATAGCTCAAAGCAAAACCTATAATATACTTGCAAAATATCTGGTTCAATGTGACTAATTGTTTTCTTCTCATTACATTTCATAGTGAATCATATATCGCTATTATTTTAACACATGAAACCCCTACACAAAACTCTTGCCTCTCCTCTCCTACGCTGAAATCCTGCACAACCATAATTTCTGTGATTCTCCACTTTCCGTAATTAGATATTCGTGAAAGACCAGAGTGTCGAAATACATTATGAAAATTCAAGTGAACACTTGTCAATCGGTAAAAGTACAGGTGATATATTAGAGAAAAACAACCAAATAAACTCCTACGCACAATTCTCCACGCAATCAGTACTGACATGGGCTTGTATACTGTGGATAGACCGACGACAGAACCTTATATTATATCGCACTCACACTCTAATGTTACACTCTGTCACCGACACGCTATACTCACACCCACACCCATCTTTTTTTTCCTCTCTGAAGGTGTAGGTGTCGGTAAAAAGAACACCCACACCGCTAATGTCTACATGTTCTGAAGTTTTTTGTTTGGCACCTCCTTGCTATTCACATATTTCACATCTAATTATGATGATCAAAATTATATGTGAATATTTAATAGAATTAAATGAATTTAGCTTCGAAAAAGTATAGAAGATGCTAAGATCTTTCGATCATCTTCAAACACGCATACGAAATTCACGTAGTATGTTGTATATGGGCTTGCCTCGCTTGATCAACTGTTGTACATTGTCTGGCAGAATGAGTTCAATATTATCGCCTGTCCTTTTCTGAATCTGATTAAAACCTGTGCTATGTTGAGCCTCTTCATGCCAGCCTGGCCATTTATCAAACGCTTGAACCCGTCCTGAAGTCCACTCGAGCATACTCAGGTCAAATCGATCTTGAATAGCTGATTCGCAATACATTTCCATGACAGCTTTAGGCTCTGCGAGCAGTTCGGCCGATTCGACCAAAGGTGGACGAGCACCTGTAAGTTCGGTGAAAAATTCAAACAATACTTGAAGCTCTTCATATCCTATACCGTCATGAAGCAGCTTCTGGTTGTTTGCAACACACGCACGGTATACAGATAATACCGCTTTGTCTGGCGCACAAAGAAGAAAAGTGTGTTTACACCGTCTGAGAAAATCGATTGGAAGCATAGTCGGATTTTCAGGATGTGACTTGTAATCAGGCCGCGCGATATGACGCGCCATATCTTTAATAAAGATATTCTTCTTTTCATTCCTAGTAGCGACGTCGAGTATCTGCTCGATTACCTGTGAATAAGTTGTATTAATATACTCTGTATGCGCGTTCAGCTCATTTTCATAGTTACTGTAAATTCTTTCTGGGCCAAAATAACAAGGTTCGACGAAGGGTTCATGAAAGGTAACATAGTCTTCTCGTTGCATGAAAGCTCGTTCAAATGCAGTGGATATTGAACGTGTGTGGGTCCAAAGAAAAACAATTTTTGTTGTTTCCATAGGTAAAGAATATGCGATTGTTTGAATAGAAATGTGACGAAAAAGGAGATGTGTCCGAGCACGAATTGTGATTCTAACTTTACGAAGATTACTTTCGTTGATTTCGAGAGCCAATAAAAAAGCGACTCGTCGTTGGTGAAGGACAGAGCAAGATAGAAAAGTAACAATGAAACGGCAACATAGGGAAACCATGAAACAAAGATAAGCTTTCGAGTTAAAATAGAATATAACACGTGTAATTTTTTTCTCTTTTTTGTTCTATTCTTTCCTAAAAGAAAAGAAAGAACCACTTGTTGTTGCATTTATTCATATTATGATTACATAAGCGAGTGAAACGCAAAACGGTTTTTGTCAAATCATACTCTTCCTATATATGGAGTCGTGAAATATCTGATTCTGAGGAAAGATAAGATGGAAATAGTTACATCCATCTTCTTGACATTTTTCGACTAAAATTTCTAATCTAGACTTTTTGCTCCTTTAGAAGAGCATACCACGACCGATTTCGTTCTCGCTCAAGGAACTCCTGGGATGACTTTGAGAGACATCTCTAAAAGAGATATAATCTACGCAGTTGTATGAAAAGCAAATTTTTGAACAATGTGTAGAATATTATGGAACTGGTACAAATTTACGAGCTCGAACGATTTTATCTGTTGCGTTCTTTTGAATCTTTTGTATTTCATATTATATGTTAGCGATTTTGTTACAGCCGATGAAGAAGCCCTATATTTTCTTTTTTTAGGACGTTAGTTTTGTATTTCATTGGTGGTTTGTTTTTTGATGTTGATTTATCATTGCTTAGGTCAATCAAAACAGTGTTGTTTACAATATGATAACGGATCGAAAATTTTGTAAAAACGGGTCATTTACGACAGCATACGATATCGATACAGTTCGTTTTCAGTCCGTATTAAACCGTATTGCATCAGTATTGTGGGTGTGGGGTGTGGGTGTGGGTGTGGTTGTGGGTGTGGGTGTGGGTGTGGGTGTGGGTGTGGGTGGGTGGGTGTGGGTGTGAGTGGGTGGGTGTGGGTGTGGGTGTAGGTGTGGGTGTGGGTTTGAGTATGAGTGTGGGTGTGGGGTGTGGGTGTGGGTGTGAGTATGAGTGTGGGTGTGGGGTGTGGATGTGGGTGTAGGTATTGGTGTGGGTATGGGTGTGGGGTGTGGTTAAATAGTGTCAACACTACCTATACCCTCACTCACACCCACATCCACACCCACGTCCACCCACAGCCACACCCCACCCTTTTTGAATTGAACTTTTAAAAAAAAATAAGTTAAATTTATTTTGAATTTAAATTTATTTAACTTTTACAGGAAAATGACGCCTCTATTAAATTAATATTCATAGATCTGAAAAACAAACAACAGCTTGTCGGCTTCTCATGTGTAACTTGGCGTGAAGATGATATAGTTTCAATAATTGAAGAATTTCATTCCTCTAGAAATCAGAAACTCAAAAATAGGTGAGTACGTTTCTTGTGGACAAGCTGAGATAGTCTTTTATTTTTCATCTGCTGTATATTATGTTGCTAAGTCGTTTCTTGTTTGAGTTGTTAACTAGAGCGTAGCCATTGAATTTCATGGGATGAAGAGAATCAGTATAAAAAACTCGATTTACACTTTCATTTTCTATAGATTCCGAAAAATATATATGCTTTTTATAAAAGTATTTGAACAACTGAAAAAATCTTGGTAGTTGTTGATGACTTCAATCCTCGACCGTTGAGTACGAATCTTCCTATATATTATATTAAGTATTGTCCAGGTCTTTATTGATATACCGTATGTACATGAGTCATTCTTTTTTCAAAAGAATACGTTGACATCTCACACCATCTCATTTCTGCTATTCTTCTTCTTCTTTTCAAGTTTTCTTATAAGCGTTTTTCTTCCTCCTTTTTTGTGGCAAAGAAAACATCACCGACTGTAATGTTGTACAAAATGAGGAAAAATGAACTCAAAAATAAATAAGCAGGAAAAAAGAGGCAAAGTGAGATGCTATATAGAAATACGTGAAATCTATATTCACAGAACCCTTACAACATGTGTGTTTATGCGAAAGAAAAAAAAATTTACGATGGGAGCAAAGAACAGACATGTGACTGCAAATATACTGTAACTTTTTATTTAACAAATTTTTTTAATGGTGAAAAATTCCAAGTTGCGTGTTTGCAGCAATTCTTCATTTCGGCTATGGCAACTTCACATGAAATTACACTCTCAACAAACGATTTTCAAATAATATGGCTTGATAATCATATAGATGACATCCAACAACCCGATTATATTAATCGTAAATTTGATTTTGATCGTTTGATCGACCATTTGAAAACGTATAAGGATCTTTCACAATGTCAACAATACATCATTTCTCTCGACAATGCTGATAAAATTTTTCTCATTGTATCGGGTTCGATCGGGGAAGAGATGTTGCCGTCGATTCACGAACTAGTACAAATTGTATGCATATACATCTTTTGTAGCGACACGTACAAACATCAAGAATGGGCCAATAAATTCAATAAAATTCGTGGTATCTTCAATGAATCTAAAGCGATGGTCGATCGTCTTCAACGTGATATACAGCTTTTACTTCATCATTTTGCTCCTGTTAATATTTTTACTATGCAAAATCTCAAAGAAACAAGCTTACAAAATATCAATAAAGAACAAGCTACATATATGTGGTTTCAATTGCTCATTGAAACATTGTTAAAATTACCACATACATCTCAAGCTAATCGTGAACTTATCGAAGAATGCATGGAACGCTATTGTAATAATGATGTCGAGAAACGAAAAATTGAGCAATTCGATGCTGAACATACAAATGAAAACGTCATTCAATGGTACACACGCGATTGCTTTCTCTATCGATTAATTAATCGAGCATTTCGCACTCGAAATATAGACACTATTTTTAAGTATCGTTATTTTATCGTGAATCTTCATCAGCGACTAGTCGAACTTCATCAAAAACAGTATGCGACCCAATCGTTGGTGCAATTAACCGTTTATCGTGGTCAACTCATGTCTGCAGAAGAACTAACCAAGCTTAGAACAAATATAGGTGGAATTTTTTCTGTTAATACATTTCTTTCTACAACTACTCACAGCAATGTCGCATTAAACTTTATTACAGACGTTTTTGCTCAACCATTTCTCGAAAGAGTTCTATACGAAATCAATGTCACTGGGCATGGTCCGTGGAAGTGGCCTTTTGCAGATATACACGATGTTAGCTGTAATGCTCATGAAGGTGAAATACTCTTTGATGTCGGTAGTACATTTCGCATATATGATGTATACGAATATACGAATGATTTATGGTATGTTAGTCTGACATTACTCGACATAAATAGTCCCTCGGCAGGAATTGATACAAAATTATACGATTACCTTGCTAAACATAGTTTTGACAAAAATGAACCACTTTTTGTATTATGCATTTTTCTTGAGCAAATGGGTGAATTTGAACGATCGAAACAATTTTGCCATTTACTGTTGCGTGATCTACCTGAAGGACACGAATTAATTGCAGTCCAGAGTCACCTCGCTGTGATTGAATATGAGTTAGGTCACCTTCATGATGCTAAAAGTATTTGCGAACAAACATTATCCATGCATTTAGAGCTAGACCAACGTAATGGTGAGACAACAATATCAAGACCACTCAGTCATCTTCATTGTCATTTTGGTCTAATCCTCAGCGAGCTTGGAGACTACAAAGGAGCTATATATCATTATCAACAAGCTATATCGCTCAATGAAATAGTGTTGAGTAGAGATCACGTTGATCTTGCGATTGATTTTAACAACTTAGGTTTGGCATATAAAGATCTAGGTAATATCAAAGAAGCTTTGTATTGGTTAGAGGAACGAGCACTGAAATTGCAATTGTCGAAACTTCCTGACAATCATCCCGATTTGGCTGTCACCTACTCAAATATTGGTGAAACGTACTGTGAAAATGGCAACTATAGAAAAGCCCATGAAAATTATGAACGCGTTCTAGCAATCGAGAAAGTTGCGTTATCTCCACTGCATCCATCCACAGTCACGACTTTTAGTAATTTAGGTGTTATGTGTGAGAAAATCGGTGACTATGATGCTGCACTGGCTTATCATCGACAAGCACTCGAAGTTCTATTACATTCGCGTACACTTGATCATATTTACTTCGCAACCACATACAATAATATGGCAGCTGTTTTTGATTGGCGAGGGGATTTTGATGAAGCATTATATCACTACGATAAAGCACTAGAATATTTACTGACCAGTGTCGGTACAGATAATCATCCGGATATCGCCTCATGTTACAACAATATTGGTATGATTCATTTTCAAAGAAAAGGTTATAAAAAAGCTTTGGAATTTTTCGAAAAGACTCAAAAGATCGAAGAGTGTCTGTTGGAACGAAATCATTACTCTCTAGCGACTACCTACAATAATTTGGGAATGGTATTCGCAGCTCAAGGGAAATTAATAGAGGCAATGCAATACCATCGACGCGCATTAGCAATACGACAACGTGCTTTATCGAAGACTCATCCAGAACTAGCTGCATCCTATGATAATCTCGGTGTTGTATACTATAAAAAAGGTCATTATAAAACAGCAATTGACTTTCATCAGCGTGCTTTATCGATTCAAAATATAACTTTGCCACATAATCATCCATCAACAGCAATTACGAAAGAGCATTTGGGTGATGTTTATTTTCGTTTAGATAATTACCGAGCAGCACTTAAGTTTTACACAGATGCATTAAACATGGCACAAACTCGTTTACCAGCCTCTCATCCTTCAATTAAACAATATAGTGCTAAGATGAATCAAGCGAAAGCAAAATTAGCCAAAAATAAATGTGGAAACCTCGGATTTAAATCCGAGAGTTATGTGTACTTCAAAAAGTGAATGAGACAGATGAGTCATCCTAGGATGTGCGGACATACAAATTATCCTGGCAAACCTTGTCTATAAACACTTGATTTCTATTGGCTACTGCTCAACCAATAGGATTTGCGGGTGAATACAGCTCAGATTTGAACTCTTCACCTTGATTTACCCTAAGAAACTCGTTTTTCCTATAACTTGATTTCTATTGGTTACTGCTCAACCAATGAGATTTCGAGGCGAATGGAACACAGATTCGAGTTCTCCACCCCAGAAAACCTCGAACTATCATCTCTGTGATCGGAAGATAGAGCTCTAATTGTAGATCACATAGAGCGTAGACGAAAACAGAACCGAATTCTGTTTAATTATCTTTGCAATAGGTGAGTTAGCTTTCTTGTTTCCTTATGTTTTATATACCATTTTGTAGCTCGTGAAATTCTCTATCGAATGGTATATAATAGTTGGGTTTTATATGACTATGATAGGAAAAGTTTTTTATGAAAGCAGAGAAGGGTCTATCTTCTCATAGGGAAAAATGACTATTTTTGCAATAACTCAGCAATGGTTCGGCCAATCATTCTCATCTTCGAACTCGACTGAGATATTGTTAAGAATAAACTGTGTAGAAAATTTCATCGCGATCGGACTCTCCTTTCAAAAGTTATCGTGTTAACGGGCGGACGGACACACTGACCGATTCTAGAGTGTACTCACTTTTTGAGTACACAAAAAAGATATTTGTTTTTGACGACTCTGTATTGCAAATCATTAAAAACTTTCTACAAGAATAAAATAAGAATGGGATTTTGTTTTTTATTGATTTTTACTGATAATATTGTTTTGCGATCGTGTTTTTCTGATTGCTGTCGATTTTCAATTATTTTCAAAAATCCGATTCTTCGGATTTTTTTTGTGTTCGGTATGATTGTTTCATACAATTTTACTTATCTTTCTGTTTGCGCACCTTTTGTCATCCCTTTAACTTTCAGTAACAAGGTTCGAGGTTGTCATTTTCTAGCACTGGAAAAAGAAATTCCCAGTAAGTTAAGTACTGAAACTAGCTCTGAACCATTTGTCCTCACAGAAGAAAGAGAAAGTTCATGTTATTGTGTACAAAACGATACATGGCTTTGCCAAAAGCATATGAAATCAACTGGCACTGGAAGTAGGCAGAGTTGGTGTGGGTGTGAGTGGGTACGGGTGTGTGGTGTAGGTGTGAGTGTGAGTGGGTGTGGGTGTGTGGTGTGGGTGTGAGTGTGGGTCAATAGAAGATATACACTCACGCCCACTAACCTACACCCACACCTACACCGACACTCACATCGACACCCCACACACCCACACCCACATCCACACGCTACACATCCATACCCACTCCATCCACATTCACACCCACATCGACACCCACTCCACCCACATCGACACCCCATACCCCACACCCACTCCACCCACATTCACACACCCTCTCCCCACGCCCACACCCAGTCATACCGACTAATTCAAAGTGAATTAAAACAGAATTAACGAATAAATCATCTCAAAAAGACGATTTAAGTCGGAATAGACCAATCGCGTCGCTTTATTTGTTATCTTTTTCTGTGTGATTGACCCCTTAACGAATAAATCGTCTCAAAAAGACGATTTAAGTCGGAATAGACCAATCACGTTGCCTAATTTGTTTTCTTTTCAGTGTGATTGACCCCATTAGACAAAAAAATGCTCGCTTTATTTTTTTCCTTTATTCTGTCTAACCATCCAAAATGTAGTGGAATGGACGGATGACGTCGGACATACATACGATGGCTGTTTTATTTATTGGTCGATTGATCAATTACACAGTCATATACTCTATTCTTTGTATATTTTATATATATGTACGTCATTTCGTCAGTCAGTGCAATGGCTAATTCTACTCTATTGGAAGATATATCGAACGAAATATTTTTTGAGATCTTTGATTATTTAAATGCATTCGATTTGTTCTGGGCATTTGCTTCTCTTAATTCACGTATTTCATCTATTTTAAAATTAACTCGTCTTCATGTTATTATTGATACTGAATATTGTCGTCGTCAAATTGAATTTCTGTCTCATCACTTGACCTTTCATTCCGATCAAGTTATTTCGCTGGACATTTCAGATAAAATCTGTGATCAAACAAATGTCATTGGATACCTTTTTAATCGACATAAGTTCTCCAATCTTCGTTCGTGCATATTTTGGTATCTTGATGCATCGTCTAAACCGAAAAATGTCATCAAACAATTGAAAATACAAACTCAGCTTGTATCGTTTCACATATCTCAATCCTACGATGCTAGCGACGATAAACTGGGTAGGAATCATGCACATCTGTTCAGTGAAATGATTTTGTTAAATACATCATCTACAGTTCGTTCTGCCACTCTTCGATTTCATTATGATTATCCTGAATTAACGAGAAGTATGATCATCAATACGAAGCTTACATATTTAGAATTGATGTTTTACGGAACACCTGATAATATATCGGTTTATTCTCTAATTCCTGTCCTTCGTGTATGTAGCACATTGCGACATCTCAATGTTATAATCAAAAGTTGTACGATGTCACAGGATAATAATGTCAAGTAAGGTTATTTAAATGAATAACATTATAAATTATTTTCATATATAATTGATTTGATAACAAATAAAATCAACCATCTTATTAAAGAATAAAATATAAAACAATATGTTTATTTTTTTCTTCAGTATTCCAAATCTTCTATCTCTAAATGAAGATGATTTACCCACAATACCATCATTAAAAATACTTGATCTGCAAATTTTTACAGAATTTGATATTCATTCACTTCATCATATTCTTCATTGTATTCCTAATCTTCAAGACTTTAGTTTTACATTGATCAATGAATATCTTGATACACCATTTATTGATGACTTGCTCGATGGAAATAATTGGCAACAAATATTAACAAGACATGTATCAAATTTGAACAAATTCAATTTTCATATGTCTTTTTTAACAGATGAAGGATTATTCGATTTAAACTTGGTTCTTAACTCGTTTCGATGTTTTCTCACACGATATGATAATTGGCATATGGCTATCAGTCGATGGGAAATCTTTGAAGAATTCATACCCTGTAAGTTAAAAAAATGATATTGCTTTGTTTTATTGAGTTTTGACAGTAATAGAAGAAAGAATAGACAATATAGACCATTTTCCTCAGCGCTGTCACATATTGCCGAAAATGAAATGAAATGAGAAGTTCTCATTTCATACAAAAATGAAAAACCTAAAAAAAATTCATCGAAGAATATTTGAAGTAAAGACTAAATGAGCAAGTATTATTTGTAGAACTTCTTCAATATTTTCAACCTATCTTCAATGGATCTTCTTCTGATAACAATAGTTTATCAGAAATTACGACTAACATAATCTTTTGAGATGAACTTTTACTCTGGTTACGATTACTGTTGCCAATAACATATGTGTATATTTTACATAAAATGAAATTATTATAGCGAAAAGTTGTTCAGAAGTATTAATAACTTTCCTCCAGTTACCATAAATCTTGACACATGATATTGGTTTTATTAGTTGGAAAACACGTTATTTCTTTTGTCTTCGTCTTTTATTTCATCGTATATTACGACTTCCATCTATATATAAAGCATGAGACAACCTATTGATAAAGTGATTCATAAAAGCAAAAACACAATTTGCTATAACTGTTATTTTTCTTTCTTATTATTATTCTAAATAGTAGTATATTTAGATCAATGTATTGTTTTGCGCACACTCAACTACAAACATCTGATTCCACGATATAAATATCCTATAACAACATATGTATGTTGTGGCACATTCGAAATGATGTCAACAGATGTATCAAATATTAATGATCATCGCTATCAATCGCATAACAACTCAATAGAATTTTATATGCCAAGATATATGGAAAGACGAGTCTTTAAATCATCTTCAAATATTCTGTTTAGAAATGTCGATTTTCTTGTGATACATTTATCCTTGATGGAATCATCAATAATGTCATTCTTAAAGAATATATTTACATTAAGTGAGTAAAAATATATCGATGAATTGTTATTAATTCTTTCATTAACTAATTATGTTTTTATTAATTTTTGTTTTTCTTTCGCTCAGTTTTTATGGATTCTTATAGAAATGAATCACATGAATATGTTGACAATCTTTCATCTCTTATTGATTTATCAACCATTGTGACTTTGAAATTTGAACAAAGTAATGATTTAAGACGATCACATGTTGTACCGTATATTTTACGGTAAGTTTATTTATTTAGAAAAAAGTTTTAGACAAACATCTTATATAAAAATACCATAGAAAACTGTTTGTACAAATATTAGAATGTTGTAGATGACGTATAGATTAACATAATCATTTGTTTCCAATTGATAATTTTTTATTTTATTTTCTTATAACAGATTTGTAAAAAAAAACATCGTAAATAATTCAGTCTTTATGTGTGTAAGATTACAGCAATCAACTTTGATTTGAAGTATTCATGGAAAAGTTTCAAAAGTAGACTTAGAAGGAATCGATTGTCTAAAGATCAAAATAATAGGAGTATTCTACGTAGTCCTAGTGAATTCGGAGCTATGCCAATGTTGTTCTTTAGATTGAAACTTAGCCGGTTTCAGCTAAAATAATATATGGAAAAGAAGTTTTCCGCAATTTTCCAATCGATCTATCTTTGCAATCATTTAAGTAATTTCAACAAGTAAATAGTCGTTTTAACAAGCATTTGCAAGTATACTTATTGTAAAAAAATAAAGGTCTCGACTTAAGGAAATAAGACAGATATAAACGTGAGAATATCATTAATGTTTTTCTGATAGATTTTTTTACCTTTGTTGCAATTGTCTTTGCACGAGATGTTTGTTCAACTCTCAGCCACGTATAACTCACTGGAGAGAATCAAATGTAGTCAGTCAGAACGAGCATTGCATGCTCTTTCTAAACATCTGTTCGAATTTTTTTCCGACTTACGGTTGGTTCACTAGAAGCAAATGTTAGAAGGGATTGAAAACAACGTTTGTAGAAAATGCTTACGAGGAAACATTCCCAAGTGATTCGCACTGTTAGACTTCATATTACACCCATAGGTAGGGCTCATAGTGTAGGTAAATACCCTCAAGGGATTCGTGCCATTGTGCCTTTCTTCTCGAGTTATGACCATTTTACTGAATTTTCAGCCTGTCACACAGTATTATGAAAAAAATTTTAACAAGGTATTTCTGCTTGAAAATTTTCCTAATAATAGATCTCGTAGTCCTTATTATATCCTGAAAATGTCAGCTCAAAGGACTAATTTCTTTTCGAAATAATGCATTTGCAAAAGCCTACTACTTTCTCACAAAAGCTCCGACAATAGTTTATTTTAAGATACTCCATATCTTTAGAAAAACTCATTCGTTTGAACTGAAACTTTCAGGATATAATAAGGACTATGAGATCTATTATTGGGAAAATTTCCAAGCAGAAATTCGTTGTTGAAATTTTTTCATAATACTGTGTGACAGGCTGGAAATTCAGTAAAATGGCCATAATTCGAGAAGAAAGTCACAATGGCACGAACCTCTTTAGGGTATTTACCTACAGTATGAATCCTACCGATGAGCATAATATGAAGCCAAATGGTGCGAATCACTTGGGAATGTTCCCTCGTTAGTTAACAGGTCTTAGTATATATACTTGCTCAGTTTTTGGACACTCAGATGCCATTGAGGAGAATGAAAATTAGTCAGTTAGAATCAGAATTTCATGGTTTTTCTGAATGTATTTTCAGAATTTTTCTCTGACTTAAGGCTAGTCACCTGTGAGTAAATACCTGAATAAATCAAAAAAAAAATGTTCGAATCCAGCCAAGTAAGCTTTTCCAGGTGTTTGAATTTCAACATTTAAAATGTAATAGATTTCGATCCTTTGTAGCAATATGTAACAAAAGTAACAAACTGCATTTTATTGAGTAAACTTCACTCTATAAACCTGGTGTATAAAAAGATTTTCTTATAGCTTGTGTCAAAGCAATTTTAATCAAAATATAAAAATAGGATACAAGAAAAATTCTGTACAGACCTCGCTTTATGGACCTTTCAAGGATTTACTCTTAATGAATCAATCATAAGTCAGAAAAAAAAATTTGAACATATATTTAGAAAGAGCATGAAATACTCTTTAAAATGACGATTTACTTGTTGCAATTACTTAAGCGACTGCCGAAATATATCAATTACAAAAGTGGGGAAGAACGGTTATTTTTTTCATACCTTACATTAAATTATTATTGAAATTTGCATCGAACAAATCTGAATGAATGTTTTTTAAAATATTACAAGTTGTGTGCACTCATTATTGATGAATTTATGCTAGATAGTATTCTCATTAGAAGAGTTGCTTATTTCATTATTTTTCTTCTTTTTGCTATATAATAGCAGTTTTTCAAGCGAAATGTATATAGAATTGATTTGATATTTTACATGTCTTCTTCTTGAGTTACAGTTTGATCATATAGATTCATGATAATTGATTTTGCTGGTTAAAAGAAAACTGATTTTATTGATATTTTAGTCACAGTTATATCTCATATCGAATAATCAATGAAAAATAACATCGTTTTTTTCTTTTTTTAGAGCATGTGTAAATGTTACAATACTTATTATGCATACTTGGTTGTTTTTCTTGCCTATAGTCATTGACAATCCGGACCTTACTCTTACTTTTGGTCGAATAAAGAACCTTAGATTAATTTCAGATCACATGTACTTTTCACTGAAATACGCGTCGAAAATTGTCGAACGTTTGCCAGCTTTGACAGAAATCGAAATTGATGTATATTCAATCGATTCTAGCGTATCAATCGTCGATATTTTTCTTGGTGGTCTTGAAAAGTTACATCTTATTATCGTACAATTTTTTCATAATAGTTTATTAGATGATCCAATTTCGCGAGATCATGTCATAGAGAAGCGGCGTCAGGCGTTTGGTTTAAATAAAAACGATGAATACAAAGTGATTGTACGAATTGAAAATTATGAATTGTATATTTGGATTCCATGATCATTGACTTCTACATTTTCTTGTTTCATATTACATAAATAAATTGGACGAAGTATAAAAATCTTGTAAGATTATTTTCTGTGAATCACTATTCTACTTATTAATTGTTGGCCAAAAATGAACATTCATTAAATACAAATTAGCATGTTAATATAGTTTCTTGAGTGCAGAAATATCCTATGCAATTGTACATAGGAACCATCAGACAAACTTTGAGAAAGAACAGAAAATTATACCAGCATATTAGAGTCAAATGCGAACTCTGATTACGCTACATAAGATTGAACGAAGAAAATTGATGATTGCTTGATATCTTCAAAACATCAGACATTGTATATCATCAAAGAGAGCTAATGGTGCTCTATGAAAGAAAAATTTAGCTGTTAAGCCTTTCTTTTTTTTTCTCACTGAATACTAGATGAAAACAATCTTTCACTATCGGTGAGCAGCATGAAGTAGAAATAAAAACGAGTCAGGAAACAAATTTGCATTTATCTTTCATATGGATTTTAAAAAAAACCCATAAAATATATTCTATATAAATAAATCGAATACAAAGTTGAAAAAATTTCATAACTGAAAATAGTTAGGCTAACAAAAACCATTTGATATTTTTGTTTGACACTAATTACTATTCCTTACTGTTGCTTCAATATTGAGAATTTTTTTGATGTAACAAGTTTTATCATTTCTTTCCTAAAAATCAAAGTCTTTTCTAAGAACATGAATTAAATCATCAACGTAAATAGTTCCGAAAATAAGGGTGTGGGTGTGTCGTAGATGTGGATGCGGCTGTTAGAATATGTGTCTATGTTCTCTTTTCCTCATTTACAGACATACCCACGCTTACATCTAGACTCACAATCGAACGACCTACGTCCATACGTCCATATCCTGAACATTAACCAAAAGTTTCTGCGAAATTCAAGTGTCTATCATAATACACAATCTATATCAGATTCAGTGATATCTGATTGAATAAACGAAGGAAGATAAACCATGTATCAAAAGAAACACTTCGACAATTGCGATCTCAAGCAATATCACGCTCTCATGTCAATCAAATGTAAATGCACTGCCGTCTTTCATGGAACTTAATTACTTTTAGTTGAAAAAAATTTCATTACATGATGTAAAATAATGTCTAATGACAATTAATTAAGAAATTCGAAAATTGGAACCTCAAGCTTCCTAATTTTGACCTGTGAAGTTATAGAGCTAATAGTAGACTGAAATTCTGAGTATATATGTGCTGTTCTCCATGTAACACATTGTGTAATGTGAGAATCAAGTTTAAATCATTCATTGAAAATAAATTTGAAATTTATTTCAACTGATTTTCATCGAGAAAATTTGATTTCAGGAAGAATGTGATCGAGATTAATCTTCTCATCCTGATAAAAACTGTTGACAATAGATCTTTACGCATACACCGTCGTGGTATTCATTTTTAGAAATCATTCAGATTCGTCCAGTTTACCAGAGACTATCAAAATGAGAATTTCTACAGCTCATTGAAAGTGAGTTGTAAAGAGTGTGGGTGTGACTCAAGAGATCTATACTCACATCCCTTAATGGAGCAGCTAAAAAACAATCAATTACATCAATTGTTGCTCGGAGGACATCGTAGAACGGTTTTCCTCGTTCTGTCCTGTTTGCTTGAGGCTGTAGTGAGTGTGGGAGTGTGAATGTGGATGTGGGTGTAGGTATGGGGTGTGGGTGTGGGTGTGGGATGTGGGTGGGTGTAGGGTGTGGATGCTGGTCAGGCTCGCCAAACCTTCTGATTTGACCAGGAGACTCCTGGTTTTTGGACTTTTCTCTTGATGGAAAATCTCCTGATTTCAGGAGCTGATTTCCAACATTTTCTTCTGATTTTTTAGTTTTTTTCTACTTGGTTGTTAGCAATACTTTGAATCAATAAGAGAGTTACAAGGAAAAAAGAGAACTAGCGCAGTATTTAATAGTTATAGTAACGAATAAGAAAATACTTGCTTTTATTTCATTTTTCTCTAAAAAACATCATCAGTTACATGATCTAATTGTATACAAAACACTTGTTTTACTGGAGATAGTAGGAAAATACATGTTATTGCCTGGAAAACAAGATCTTGAAAATCAGACAAGAGATCGATAGACAAAATTTTAAATGACCAGGCAAGATGTCTCTCATCTGCAAAGAATTTTGCATATCATGGAAATCACTTCGGAT